TGCCTGCCTATTTCCATGCCCTTCGCTTACTTCAGTACTGCATACCAATCTCGGTATGCGAATTCCTTGACGGTGGAGCGCTATAGATGAGTCTCATCAGTGTCTCTTTTTCAACTGCTCAGGCTCAGTCTAATCTAGGTGGCTCCGCCGGCGAACATTTATGCGCGCCTTTTCACATTCATTTAAATTTTAATGTCCCGTCTTCGCATTCGCCCCTAAGAGCAAGCTTCTCTTAGTATCAATGCGTTTAACGCACCGCAGTCCACGCACAAAAGGCGACTTCCACTTTGCGGTTCAGTGAAATTGAACCTTGGACTAGAGTTTTGTCCGCTCTATCCGAGTACCCCAGAGCACCTGGCTTGTGACGTTCGAGGTTACTCTTCGCTTTATTCAGGGTGTTTCATAGATGTGTGATCTCGGTGCCTTTGATATTGGCATCTCTTGTCATCTGGCTGGCTGCATTCTATTTCGCTTTTCCAGATGGCGAAGCGCTCTATGAAACGGTGTCTACGAGGCCCATGGCACCACATCACTCTACCGTAACCACTGGTGTATCGAGATCTATCCATGCCTTTACATTCCGTCGTTATCTCCTACCACGTTTTCGAGGACTGTCTTCCTGAAACGTAATGATGGATAATCATCTTGACAGGTCTCGACTCTCGACCGCAATGGGATTGAAGTTCTAAACGATCTTTGTGGCGAGCATTGAAGAAATCAGGGTGCCGCAACTCCACCCTATCAATTGATACAGTACTTCAGACCCCGAGATTGTATGACCATTGCATTGGCGCTCAAATCATAAGCCTTTGATCCAAGATTCCATTCTCATCTGTCGGTAGATATGCATCAGGGTTTTTTCGAGGGATACCTCTGATCAAGCCTTAATCGAAATTAAGCCTAGCCATTTCCATCGATCTTCCTCCTGTGCGTGCCCTAGCCCTCATCAATGACCGCCCACGATACAGATATGTAATAAGCACATTGGGCCTGTTTCCAAGATCAGGCAGTTGTTCTCAACGCGTGCATACATGGCGTTATGTCAACAAAAATGAGGACGAGGTTTGAGATAAGAGACAAGCATAATTGCAAGATAAACCAGGTCTTCGCCGCCTCAGCTTAACACATCAATGTAACCGATTTAAGCTATACACCATTCAGTAATAATATCTGCATACCATGTTTATGAACTTCCAGAATTGGATATAAAACCATCGTCCATACACGATAAGATCTGAACAAGGAGTGTGGACTTCGCGCGGTTAGCAAGAAAGCGGAATTTTTTTTGATGAGTATCAGCCCAGAAACCTTTCCATCTCCGTACCCTCATTCTGTCCATCATTACGCCTAAGCCCGCAACAGCTCTGCACGGTGCGTTTCACCCCGTCCACTGCTCGGCTAAAGAGCCAGTTCCTTGCACGCCAAACCGGATGCTCGCGCACGTCGACGCGGTCCGCGCGGAGGCGGTCCTCGCTATCGACCACGACAGCAAGCGTTGCGATCGTGGTGATAATCGATGCGAGTGCCGTGGAGGCGGAAATCATAAACATGATAACCATCTGGAGCCGAGCTGCCTGCTGAACTGAAGAGCCACCGAGTATGGCACCTGAAACCCTTGATCAGCGCAACCGTTCGCCCACGTCGTGGCGTAAATTCTGACCGGTCATCATTCCTGGAATAGCAATGATTCCGATCACGCTATTGTCAAGGGCAGACACTGAATTAGAAATAGCTTGTATTTTAGATGGTACAAACCTCATTTGGTTGATCGTTGGAGTTAGTGCAAGACGAAGAGCTTCTCGTGCAACAGGTCTACACGCTTCGAAACGTGATGCTCCAAATGCGAGGTACATTTCTACCTTGTCGCGATTGTCGCTGCAAGGATGTTGGTCGATATCAAATGTTCAAATACATTAGTGGCGCGACTTACTATATCTCCCGGAGTACATAAGACACGGAAACAACGATTCCCGAGATCGTGCCTCCACATAACATGCCAACAATTGGAACTTGTGGTTACAAGTCAACACCACTGATCCCGCACAAACAGATCGTGACAAACTATATTGTTCAGGCTTCCAGAACGGCTCTATGGCCATAGCGAAACGGATGCCGATGATAGAGACAGGTATCGTCGAGCACAGCATACCAAATAGCACGCAGAAAAACTATGCAACTGTTCAGGATAAAATAATAGATACACCCGTCGTAGAACTCGCCATATGATTGTAGCGCTTTTTAGACTTGTTCACAACTTCTCCGCATCAGGAGCCGAGACAACAGTAAGAATTGCTTAGGACGCACCTGCCTCGATAGTTCCTAGTAAATTCAACAAAACTGGATACCATAGATCTAGCGCCCGGCTACCTCAAATGAACGTGGAAAACGCTCACATGCAATACTGCCCACTGCCCATGGATTATTCGTCTCGAACACCTTCTGCAACACCAGCGCGACTAGTCCCAACTGTACTACACAGCGTATGGCCGCAGAGAGTAGTGACGATCCTACTCCGAGTTGTAGCGAAGTAGAAATGAGGGCATTGAAAAGAATGAAGGAGAAGCCGAGGCCGACGTTGCTCCAATCCAGATGAGTGGTGTCTGAAGGTGCGCCGTCCATGGTCACTTGGAAGGCAGATCAACTTAAGCCTGAGCCTGGATATGACCACACAATTAGTGGGAGCTCAACAACTTGCGATACAGCTTGTGAATTTCGAAGCATGTTTGTTAGACCCCAGTCGCCAATGACCTACATATATCCCAAGCTTCTCACTATATGTAGTGCTATGGAAAGCCGGAGCACCGTGCTCATTTAGTCACGGCGTATTTGCTCACATGCAGCGAAAAGACCCCAGACACCGTATCTTTGTAGCGTGTCAGCCAATGAAAATCGTTCATTTATTGTTCATCAATTTTCTAGTCAAGAATTTTCTACACAGGGACAAATTTCGACAAGTATCATCTTACTTAGCTCTCTCTAATATATAAAGTTGGTCATTTGTTTCCATCTCCAACACGCTTAACCACTCATGAAGGGGAACTTCCAGAACCTTGGCGATGCCACCCCGAGGGAGGTTCAACTTCCATCTTGAGAACCCCTGCACCCTGTCTACCAACTTCCATCGTCCGGTCCTCATCAACTCTACAGAAGACTCGGTGATGAGATGAGTGAGAGGCGTCGACGCTGTAAGATCGCGCGGGGACAGACTTTCCGTCTTGTTGTACACCCAATCATTTGTTGCTGGTCCGGTCATGGACGGGATGTAAGGTGGTGAATGATTCTGCAGGAAGAGCGACGCCCCAGTCTGGGCTGCAAGGTTAGATATGTGAACTTGCACTGCGATGGTCTTGTCAGCCACACCCAGAAGCTCATTCACCGTGGCTCATACCAGCATGCTGGTCTGCATATCGATCGTTGAATATTGCGAGTGCAGAACCACCAGGGTAGTTTGCCATCGACGCCCGGGTCGATACGATAGTGATGGCACAATTCAGAGCAAGTATGCCCGCAGCTGCGAGAAACATCATTCTTCCGAAAACACCACCTTTCCTTCGGGATACCCTGTTGAAAAGCTGAGTGTGCCTCCGATGAAATGAAGAGTGCTTACATCCACCGGGCACCCCGAGCGGCGGCGACATTGAAGAAAGGAACAACGTAAATGATGAAGCGCCATTCTTTGTGGCCCAAACAGCTGATGAGAACAATAAAGAGCACTGGGGGAAACATTAGGGCCTGGACGCGATTATCCAACGCAGCTCCGAGTACAGCCAATGGCAAGGATCCAAGAAGAAGCTTCGGAAGGTGTGAAAGGAAATACGCATGCACAGGTGATGTCTGCATAATGGGTGAGACACATGGAAGAAAAAGAAAGCACCAACTTACGCCCCAATCAGAGCTCTTGCCTTGATATACATTGAAATATATCCCATACAGTTCGGGCCACAGCGGCCACTGGTTCCATAGGTATGAGTCGACGGTGACGGTCAAAGCTAGTCGCTCAACAGTTGCAGACCTTTCAGTGCGCAAAGAACAATACGCACCGATAGATAACATGGCAGACAGAAAACCAACGCTAATCAGCCTCGTAAAACTGATGTGCCGGAGAAGAAGTGCTTGGATAGCGAGAGGAGCTAGTAGTAGCGCGACTTCCGAGCGGAACACGACAGCGGTGAACGTCAGTAAAGCAAATGTAACATCGGCACTCCTTCTCGTAGGAAACTGGGACTGCGGAGCTCTGTTGTACAACGCGTAGAATCCGAGGTTAACTTGTGTTCGTCCTTCGTTAAGCAGAGACTCATGTCGCAGGCAAATCACCTACCAGGGAACAATGCGAACATGTTTGGTAATGTTCGGCCCATCCAAAACGGCAGATGAAATTGCGAACATGTTAGGAGGACGTACATGAGGCCAGTTGGACGACCAAATCGTCTACATACGGCCCGTCGTATCAACATGAAGCCTGTTGCATTCAGCGTAGCAAGGACCAAACGCACTATCAGAGAGTTCAAGACGCTGTGAGCCAAGTATTTACATAGAATCAAACCTGCTATCTGAAGATCGAGTTTTGTGCTTAGCAGGCCCCACTGACTCGCCACGTAGGCGACAGGTGAAGTGAGCCACGCAAGTAGAATGCTTCCTATGAACGTCCGCGGTACAGCGCCTGGAAATATGTTATGATCAAACTTCGCCACATATCAGACACGAAGAGTTAGGATGAGAAAGTTTCACACCTTGTGCAGATTATCCCTCCCAACTCCATACATAAGAACGTCATGGGTTGCGTGCAAGTTGAAACTTTCTTCGACTTTCGTGTACGGTGCCAAAAGAACATGAGCCCAGCTGGTCGCCAACAAGAGTAAATCCATAGCAAAACTCATCGAGGATTGAATGTGGGTACCGCTGTTACGTCCTAGACGCAGAGCATGCAGCCGGGAGGTGAGGTCAAGGTGATGTCTCGATTAGAAAGGTGTCGGACTTAATGTTGACGTAACTGTGTATGTACTTAAGGGTAATAGCCTAGTCATGTCGAAAATTAAACAGCGAACTCTAAGTACTTAGATAGCGACCAAAAACGACTCATGCTAGTGTATAACCCAAACCATCTCTTATACCAAGGAAGAAAACTGCTTTTCTGATGAATTGTTATTCTAATGCGGTCATCTTTGTTGTAAAGTGAAATTGTTTCAAAGAAGGCCAAGCGCAAGGCTCAAGCATGGACTGCACTTCCGGAGGGAATTGCACTGACATCGTGGAGTCTACTTGCAAAAACAGGCGCAGTGATTGCAACCCTGCCTCCACAAGAGGTTCAAGCCCCTGCAAAATACTCTTGATGAGGTCGCTATCCCGAAAATGAGGCCTAGGTTCATTGATATGAAGATCAAATGATTTCAGCGACTTTCCGAGCTTCTCAACGATGATAGGTATGAGGTGATCGAAGAAGGCCGCGACACCAGAAGGTTGCCCGTCTGGCTGAAACACCAGCGTATGTAAATTTGTTGCTGCAAGGCGTGACATGAAGAGGATGACGGAAAACATTGATCCTCGAACATCCAACTGCTTCAATGCAGGGAACATCGGAGGAATCGCTTGCCAATTCATGTTCAAGCGATCTTGAAGGTGGATTTTGAGGTCTGAAACAGGTGCATGGGACAGCAGCGTGCAAAGAGCTGCGAGCTCGGGGGCACGAATATAGGCTTTGCTTAGATCGACCTTCCTGATCTGCCCGAATTGAAGTTGGGGTGTTGAGTGCAACGTTCTCATTGTCCGCATGAGACCGATAATGCGCAGTTCCTTCAGATATGGTGCTTCAGCAACAGCGCGGTCGAGTGCCAATTCAATGGGGTCACAATCAAGTGTATTATGACATACGAGGGTAAGAGATCGTAGGGAGGGGGGAAATGGCTTCGCTTGCGAGGAAATTGGCCCAGAGAGGACATAGGCCAGACTTCGCAATTTTGGGAAAGGATGCAACTCTTCCTGTCCGCGAATGACTGTGAGGCGTGTATAGCAATCCCGATTTTTTATGAGATCTGCGCCATCATTGTTGTATTCTCCTATGCGCAAACTCCAGACTCATGCAGCGTATTTGTCGAACGTTTTCCAGTCATCCAATGAATTGCAGCGATACTTCAGGAGATAACAGTCACTCGTCCGGGCGTCCTGCGGATATAACGAGGATTGGCTTCAGCGGCAGACGTGAGGTGAGACACTTACATTCACAAATGATGCGCTTTGTGGAATCAACAAAGTAAATGGCGCAAAGGAGTACATAGATTTCCAGAGGATATCGAGGGCAAGATCTGTAAATGCACGACAACAGCAAGACATGTGGTACAACGACTTCTTGTCGTCTTGTAATTCATCAAGGATAACTGCGAGAATTTCTGAGATGCGGAGAATGTCAAAAGGTTCTGGCATGATCAGTCGAGGAATTCGTTCGCAAGTCACAGCACACCTGAGACTTAAGGTTAAAGACCACATTGTACAAATTGTTCCATTGGCTGACTGATAGAAGCAATTGACACGAGGCCCCGACCAGGTATTACATCCAGAGTCCAGACCATTGCGGCAAGACGAGGTTCATAACCCAGTGGTAGGAAAGCAAGCTAGAGACCAGCCTGGCTTGTACTTCAGGATCTATGAACGGGTCGAATAAACTTTGAACGTAGCCGGATTTCAAAAGTTTGGTCTATGTAGAGGAAATTTGAAGTTGTTTATGCAAGAGAAAAATTACGTAAGCACTGCAACCTAATATACATGTTTTGTGACTCTTATCCAACCTCGTGGGCTAACCATCACTTTAGGTATATCCCATTGCAAAGACGCTGCAGCCTAGTCAAGGCACTATTTCGCCGATGTACTGTTCAAATGGAATCTGAATCACAGATTTCTTCTTGAAATACTTTACTAATACATAGTAATATGCTACACAAGTTGCCTTAAAAATACAGTGATCGATGCTTCGACAAACCAAACGAAAATCTTGTTCACAGGTGATTGCCTCGTCGACGTGACCATGGCCTTACTTCGTGTCTTGCGGGTGGGCAACCAGCTTTTTCCCGCTCACTTGCCCTTTCTTCATTCGTTCCAACCCCTCGACAACTCCTTCAAGACCATTAGGAAGAACTTCGTAATCAAGGGGCTATGTAGAAAGTAGGTCAGCGGCAGTGAGACTGAGGTGCGCTAGATACCTCACCTTGATGGTCCCTGCCTCAAGCCACTCCGAAAGAGTGGCCCACAAGCCCTTGCAAAGTGGCTTGTTTTCATCCACATGTGGGCTGCCGAACGTCCTAATAGCTACGCGTTCCTTTCCTTCCTTTTCTTCGACTGACGCCGGAAGTGTCAAAACCAGGCGTCCTTTCGGACCGAGGAGCGACCATCCAATCTGCTGTGTCTCAGGGAGAGAGATGGCATCATACACATACTTGATCGGGCCGCTTGTATGATCGCTAACAAGACTCTTGAGCTCGTTAGCAGAAAGGTCCCTGAGGAATACATGGGTAGCGCCAAGCGACTTCAGGTACTTCTCATGTTTTTTCGACGCAGTCGTAATAATAGGAGAAAACCCAGAGAGGCGAGCCAGCTGAATAGCTAAAAGAAGGTTAGGATGATACTTTTCTTGACGGTCACGGTTACTCGCAACTTACCACATGACCCGACAGCTGAAGATCCACCAAGAATGACGATCGGAGTCCCCGAGTACACGTCAATGCCGTTCTCTACCCAAGGCGGCGTGAGGCCTAACCCGTAAATGTTACTATTATACAGGCCTGTCGACGCAGTGTCGAAGGCCAATGGAATAGTGGCTGCCTCATCATATCCCAAATTATCCGGGATCTATATGCTGTCAGTGCCAATGCAAATCCTTCGCAAAAAAACATGCCTTCGCAGTCAAATCCGCGTCGCAGAGTGTGAACTGTTGGAAACCAGACTTATGGTTTGTAAACTGGCCATGGGAGAATCTACAGCGAATAAGTTAAACCCAAGCACAACTCAGGGGCTAATAACGCTCACACTCTGTCTCCCTTCACGATGTGGTGAACACCTTCCCCTACTTCGACGACGATCCCAGCAATATCCTCACCAAGTATTGCTGGGTAGTTTTCGACGTAAAACCCATGCTCCTGAACTTTGTAGTCGACGGGATTAAGGGCTGCAGAGTAAACCTGGATCAGGAGCTCATCCTTCCCGGGCTTCGGGATGCTGTGTGGACCAACAGCGAATTGGCCATGCTTAGACTGAAGGAAGAGTGCTTTTTGCTGCTTTGTGTCAGACATAGTTGCGAAGATGAGAGTGTGCGGTGACGATTGAAAGCAACTCTACTTAGGGGTCTCATTTTTTAAACAACTTCACCATTTCAAATGCTGACGCATGCAAGAAGCAATTCATATTGACAAGGAAATGAAGGGTATCTAGATAAAATAATGATCATATATGGATGTCCATGCGATCGACCGTGCAAAGTTGTTCAAGTTTCTTGCGGCCGTACTACCATTTTCACCCCATCTACCTTCCCGGCGTTGAATCTCTCAAGCCCTTCTGGTATTGCACGCAGCCCGCCAGGTAATAGATCGACGTGGTTTGGCTGAGACAATGTTAGAATATACCTAGAGGTAAGGTTCGATTGGTACGTACTTGTATGTGACCGTCTTCGACCCATCTCTCAAGATGAGCCCACAGCCTCTTCCCCGTTTCCCAGTTCTCATCTGATTGCGGACTCCCGTCTACAGGAATCACTTGCCTGCTGTCATAGCTGTCCTTGCTGATCAAGGATGGCTGTGTGACAACAAGCTTCCCCCCGGGCGCAAGCAACGACCAAGCAGCCTCCTGCGTCTCTGCCGTGGATATGGAGTCGTACATGATATGTATGCGAGAGCCCGTGATTCTCATCACGGCCTTATTTAGTGCTTGCACTGGAAGATATCTGTCTATGACGTGGTTTGCTCCGAGACTCTTCAAATGTTCCGTGTGCTTTAGCGAGGCGGTGGTAATGATAGGTGAGAAGCCCGACAGCTTCGCAAGTTGGATAACTGGTAGCAATAATGCCTCAGTAAGATGACTTTGCTGTGGAAATGAGCTGCCAGGCTTACCATAGTTGCCCACAGAGCCAGCACCGCCTAAGATCAAGATGGGCCAACCTTTGTACTTGGACCACCCACCGCGGTCCCAAGGAGGAATAAGTCCGATACCATTGGTGGTACCGTACATCCCGATCGCGGCTGTGCCCATTCCGCATGCAATAGTACTCGCTTGGTCAAGCGATAAGCTTCTCGGGACCTGAGTAATATCGATCAACACGAGTCTCAGCCACCGATCGTGGGGATTAACTTGCCTTAGCTGCGAAGTCAGTCGTGACTACGCAATACTGCTGGAAGGTTGCCAGATCGTTATCGTCGAAGGCACCATGGAAGAATCTAGGTCCCGAAGTGACGATCAATCTTACAGTATTGCCATAGTAGAAGTGAAGCGACATACATTCTTTCCCCTAGATCGAATTTTGTAACGCCTTCTCCGATCTCTTCAACGATACCGGCACCATCGGTGCCCAGCACTGCGGGATAGCTGTCGACGAATGTTCCATCTCTGTGGACCTTCGCATCGAGAGGGTTGAGCGCAGTAGCCTGAAGTTTGACGAGAACTTCGCCAGGACCTGGCGTAGGTATTTTACGGCTAGCGACAGCAAATGTCGTTTGCTTGGTTGGAATGATGAGCGCAAGTTGCTCGTCAGGCATATCAAGGGTTGAGTGGAAATCAAGTGTTGAATGGAAGTCAAGTGTTGAATGGACGGAAGGGCTTGGTTCCTGGCGAAGATAAAGCATTAGACGTGGGCTTTTATACTCATTGCCACTACTTACCTGACTTAACGGAAGTGAATGGAATGAAGTGTTTAGGGACACCTCGTGTATTGGGTGAGGCCCTCGACCGTCTAGGCGCGATAAAAACTGCATAGCTTTCTCAAGAAGCCTCAATCTTCGACGGATAGGTCCCGGTTGCTTGTCATTGGTGCGTTGCTGCATGGGGTTGGTGAGCAAACCGTGAACACGAGGCACAGAAGATTGGGGCGTTATGCTTACAATCATTGTGCTCATAACGTGACTCTGATGAGATACAGGGGATATTTCGTTATACAGGAAGGAATTCTGTGCGCTTTATAGTCATTGGTGCCACGACCCACGAGGCAGTTACGCTATTTCGTGACATTTTAGGGCCGCACAGACTGCAATTCATGGAAATTCCTTGCACAGGAAAGTCCCTCGTGCGCTCCACAAGTTTATCCTATGTGGAGCTTCGTTATAGAAGCAATCAAGGTACGTACAAAATTAACGCCAACCTCGAGGCTGGCAAGTTGGACGCCGGTCGTTTCACGTATAGTCCAGCGAGCGGTCCCTGGATGCGCCTGGAGACCAGACCAGACTAGACCACATCAGTAAAAAACACAAGGTGCACAGCCTAGCCCACCTTCCCCTTGCACATGGAAGCCCATTTCCTTAAGAAATAACGTTTGCCTCATTTCCGAGGGACGCTGAGCGCCGGGGCTGTGGTCAGCAAGTAATAGCGCAAAAACCATTATCATTTTTAGCTAACTAGAATCACGTTCAGCATGGATATCTAAGATTAGGAAAGCAGGAGAGTTTATCGGAGTGTGGTACATCAAGACACCTTGATTGAGTAGCAGTATGTAGAGTGAATCAAGCTTATCTGAAAGGTAGGAGGCGGTGATTAGGCAAGGCGGACCGTGATCGCAGGCCATTAAAATCGATCAAGGATTAACGGGGAGAATGATCAATGTATGCGATTAACTGCTTGCCAGGGGTTGGTCAGCGAGAACTCAAGTATCCTGCTAGAACATACCTATCAAGAAAACGAACCACAGCCAATTGTACAGGATTGAAATATGATTACAGCATGACTAAGGGATGCAGATTTGACGCCAATTAATTGGCATATGGATACGGAAATGAGTGAGGATGCAATGCCGTTCAATGCTCTAAAGCATTTCCTTCGTTACGGTGTGCGGGGCGGGGACATGACTGGAGCGGAAGACAGTCCAACCTCAACATGCGTTTTCTCATGCATGTGAATGTAACGAAGTGAGCGTCCAAAAGAAAGAAGTGAGTCGGAATTACGTTGCATGTACTTGTGCTTTCAGCGATTAGGCTATTGGAGAGAGATTCGAGATTTACCTGCATAAGGTAGTGGTACTCCTCAACGTCTCACTGACTCCGCATGGTGTCACTGGACTCTATTTTTACCCTCTTGGCACTGCGGGTAGTGGATATTCTTTCCTCGAGCCTTCTCACCTGTGCCTTCGTAGAGAGGTTGTCAGCACTTCTATAAGCATACGCAAGAAAAGATCTAACTTTCAGCGCATTAAGCTCACGCAAAGCTTCATCATCTATGTCTAAGCCTGTTCCATCGTTGTGATCTTCCGGCTCTGGTACGTCTACAGGAACTTCACGCTTGGTTCCTCGCGAAGGTTGCATAGGTGGCGGGGCAATTCCATCTGCCACCAGTCGATCTAGTAAGGATACATGAGGATCGGAGTATAATTACCGACTGTGTTGTGCATACGAACCAAATGGTCTGTACCTGAAAACAAATGTAGCCGTGGGGATTATCCCAACGCGGGCCACGTTAATTACCTGCTGTGGTGGCACGCGGATCTCCTCTCCGAACCTAAGATCGTTTGTGACTTGTATGATGAGGTGGAGCAAAACTACGCACCCCACACAGTGGCTTGATGCCTTCTTTGAGCGTTCGTGGACCATCGTTCCCTTAGGAGAGACTAACTTTCTTTGGTAGCCCATGCCAATCACGTTCGCAGGCCAGATGGCTAAGGAAATTTCTCCGAGCTCGGCATGAGCAGAATTCAGGTGTTGATCTTCATCTATAAGTATATGAGCACACTTCTGGAGTCTGATAGTCTACAGCAGATGAAACTGACCCGTCAGCTGAAGCCTCGAGAAGGTAAGCGGACGAATGGAATTCATCGACGTGTTGACGTATTTGAATTCCGCAGTACATCTCTGATATGTCGGTGGCTCATTGAAGCTTAAAGCACGCATTAATTGACCCCCTCCATGTACGCCATCGAGTGTTACATCTCCTGTTTGGTGATACTGGCGTGCATGGTTGATATCTTGCCATACTACAGAGAACGTCTGCGAGAACGACAGGAGGCGGCGTTGGAGGTCGCCTCATGTACAAAATTCACCAAGCACACACCTTTCCTGCTTCCGAAGCAATCCAACAGGTCACTTTATTTTCTTCTGGAAACGTCTCAATTCCATAGCTCTCCAAAGCTTGTCCATCGACCCTGATGCACGCTCGTAGCGTCCCGTAGGATAGCATTGAAGGAAAGGAGAGATGATGGCGTGGATAGCTTTCAATCGATGTACACACGCTTAGCCAGGTACAGGAAGGCGTGCAAAGAGTAACGCGCGGGCTTAGCCACTAATTAAATTTGAAACTCAGCGACAGAAAGGAACGCGATCGCGTCATGTGATATCATCCCAAACTCTTCCTGCCACTTTGTTGTCACGTTGAGAAAAATTCTTGACTGCTCTTCACAGCAGCAGAATGACGTTACCTCCTCAGTGGCTATGGCCTTGTGTTAGCCACAAGAGCACCTGCAATCATGTACTTCTAGCTGTGACTTTAGCCCGGACCATACTTACTCGCGATTCACACCTTGGAGCTACAAAACGGCTTTTCATTTGAGTGGACCATTCACAAAAGTATGTCACAATGTGCTAACAGGTGCTAACTTACCATTTTAGCGATCTCACCCAGGACAGACAGTCACGATGCACCCCTCAAATTGATGACACGTGAGGAACAGCACCGTGACATAGGAGTTGATATTTCACATCGCCCGATGTAACGGACCGACAATATTGTCTAGCGGTCTTGTGCTTTCTTCTTCAACAGGTTAGAAACGGATCATGGACCGAAAACACGAGGTGTCTCTGCGTGCAATCACAGTCACATATACGCGCCAGTACTCCTTCATGTCAATAAAGTCCGAGGAGTTGATAGTTGATGTAGATCCGGCAAGGCGGCCGAGACTCAACGCAATCCATCTCTATATATATGCGTCACCACTTCGATAAGGTTCCAGTAGACACGCCTAAATTTCTGGAGGATATGTAACATTCATATGTCTCCACCCGCTTACTGACAGATGAGCTGAATGACGCACGAAAAAAAAGTTTCCACTACTCCTCTCAGCCCCTTTTTCAAGAGTTCTGCGCCACTTTGCCACTTCCGAGAACATCAGGAAGTCACTAGGAGAATTGATGTACGAGTAAATGTCTTCATGTGATGTTTCAATATTAATCACGAGTGCTGTCATGCGACGTGATACTGACCAGGCGGTACAAACAGGCACACGGCGTGGATCGCCAATCGCGCGGAACACGAATTAAAGGCATATATCTCGAGGATCGAAAGAAGGATCCGGGCCGGGTGTAGGACACACCTAAAACGCGGAATGAGTCGTGTTCGACGACAGAATGAGCAAAGTGCCTACCGCCGGCAGAATTTACTCAAGGCAGAACTTACGTCAGGCCGGTAGTCTCGACGGTAGAAAATATCCCTGCTCACGAGGATGATCCTTCTAAAGGATTTCGATCCCAAGTTCTTCTTTTGGTCGCAGGTGTTTCAGCTCTACGTTCGTTAGGTGATGGAAAATCAGGCGAATTATTTCGCTCACTTCGGGATCCGGGATCTTCTCTAGCAGTCCCGCGAAACAACCGGCTTCCGGTTCACCCATAAGCAGGAACGCTTCCAGCCAATGACCGCAGAGGGTGGTGCTATATATACAATTGGCTTGCAGAGTATTCATTGTGTTCAGTACAGAAATCGGTGACATGCTTACCAATGGAGCCATAGTACGAATTGGTAGTCGGAGGTCTCTTAACTTTGTCCCGAAGTTGCAGTTATGAAAAACAAGTCAACACTGCTACTTACACGAGACACTACTTGAGTGTCCCATTTGTTCGTTGTTCGTGGAATATACGATTGTCAGACAAATTTCTCCATGAATATCCAAGGGCCGTAGATAACCGTAATCATCTGAATACCGCTCGGCATTATGAAGGTCGAGATACCGGTCGGTGGCGGAACAATATCAAGTCAGCAAGTAGTACCCGGCGATTCGAGATGAAACAAGAAGATATGAAATCGCGAGTGCTGGTGCGCATCACGAGTATTATGTGCATTTCAGAATGTCCCGGTGCCAACCGGCCGAAACACTTGAGCGAAGCCACTACATTGAACTCCTTACGCCGCGGAAGGTGAGTTGTGAGGATATCTTCCCTTCCATAGATGCAGTCAGCATGTAGTAGCCTCCTGTCTTAAAGGAAACAGTCACACCAAATCTCCGGTCGCGAGCGCTGACTCCTCGTTTCCGTCAATCGGAGCACCAACCAGGCAGAGAAGTCTCCGAGGAGCATGGGTCTAGCATCACTGCTACGGGGAAATGAAAGTAGTAATCCTGAGCTCACTGATATTGAATTTCTGAAGTCTTGGGATGCAACCTATCATTATACGAAGTCTACGGCTTGGAATAGAGGGGTTGTAGAAAAAGGTGTCCAAAAGTACAAGTTATTTACTAAGAAAGTATTATTCAAGTCGTAAGCGTAACGTCAGGACTGGTGGCGACAGACTTTTAAGAAGTTCTGTACAAATGCATTGTACATCCACACGAATCCACAATGATGATAATTTTGAGCCACACAGAAACTATGCATGTAGCGTGCCCCATCTTGCAAATAATCGAGTTCCTGGAAATTGCATGGAAGTGTCCATTACACTGGGAATCTGGGATGCTTACCTCAGAGCGGTAGCATATAAGCCTGAACCTAAGAAAATACAGAGAAGCTAATCATCAGTGAGATCAATAACCTCCATAACAGCTTGTTTCCGTCGCGATCCCCCATGTTCCAACTTGACAAGCGAGGGCTTCTGATCCTCTACTTGTGCGCGTAAGCGCTGGAGCTCCATCTGCAAGAAGAGAATGAGCCGGAGGGAAAGATATCACCAAAGCGAAAAATTACCTCCAGCTCTCGAATCCTTGCCAGTGGCTTGACATCATCTGAGGGCGAGGACTCGTTAGGCCCATCCATGACTTCAATTTCATCGTTATGATCCTTTGCCTCTGCCTCTGTCTCTGCCGCACTTGGTGTATATGGTGCTACTCCCATTGCCTGCAGGATGTCTGGGATCGGTAATATGCGTGAGTGGTGAATACGCGTAGAAAACACCATGGCCCACCCAAGCGCGTGTACTTGAATACGAAGACAGTCTTCGGACTATTGTCTCGTATGATGGTGAAGGGTTCTCCTGGTTCGTGACAGGGTACTTCTTCTCCGAAGCTTGACAGAATGACAATCACAAAAAGTGAGGCGTGCGATGGAATTTTACGTACGTGACACGATGAGAGCATGCCTTCTTGGAGCGTTCATGCACTTTGCCTTCCGGCACACGAAGGGTGCGATCAATCACATTCTGGGAATCCACTACTTGTTCACGCATGGTGTATTTCCCCGATGCTACCTCCATCACAATTTGACCTATGTCGTTTGAGGTTCGATCATCGAGCATTGAGTCGTCATCTGAAGTTCAGCATTAGAACTTGGATGTAGGCTTCAGGAACTTTCGCATACTAACCAGTAAGCTCAAGTTTGGAGAACACAAAATCTCTTCTGACATAAGCATTGCTCAGGGTCGTGCGGTCCAGCGTACCGACGTAGCCCGGAGACCCGACATATGAACGACACCTAACACCGTCAACAAAGACGGTTGTTATAAACCCCGAGGTCTGCTTGGCTAAGAACTTCGTCCTGACTCCAAATTTCTTATGAAGGTACTAAGGGTCTTTCCCTGTTCATTTTATGAATAACGCACCTTGCCTTCGGCTGACGCGATCCAGCACGTTATTCTGTTCTCTGTTGGCGTGCTGGAAACGACGACATCATACTCTGGGAGCTCCTGGTCATCGATGAATATACAAGCAGAAACGTCTCCCAGAATCATAACGCAAGGTAGATAGGCAATATATGATATATATCAGACGGCGAGATGTAGCCTGCAGGATGGAATATTAAGTGGCTTTGCTTTCGAAACTTGAAAAAAGCATACTTCATGGCATCAGACTTTATACTTAAAGCTTTATGTAATAGAAGAGTTACATAAATAGAAGAGCCTTTCAACGACAACGGGTCACCGGTCACGTGCGGTACTGCAGACATAGTTCTCGCGTCTACATCATGAAATATACATGTATACTTTGTTACCAGTAATTTCTTGAGCCTGTATTACCACTATTGTCCCTCAATCCCAAGATTCCTGCCCGGCAAAGTTATTGAATGCCGAGCAGTGATCATAATGTACAATAGTTAATGCATTAAAATAACAGGGTAGCCTCATTAATTGTCATAAGTAGGTGTCGGGACTGGCGCGGCCAGGCGCCGTTACGATTTGCATGGAATGATTTACACCGAGCAGTACCGACAAAAATCAACTATATGATTTCGAGTTCACCACGCCCGCCACGCAATAAAAGACTATAGAAAAGTGTGAATTCAAGTTCCAGTACGGGCGTGTAACTCAAAACATACCTTTGGGTATTTCCTCACAATGGCTTTGCGAGTTTCGTCCATGAGCAAGATCCCCAAAGCAAAGGTAAATGGAAGACCCCAGAACATCCCAGGGATGGGCGTCGTGCCAAACACCCGCTGGAAGCCAGCTCCATAGAGGTTCACGATGCAAATCAATATCGTGCCCGTCATGCCGACGAGTACCAGCAGGTTGCGACGCGGGCCCCATAGAGGATTCGAATGCAGTATCGATACTCGGCGGTTGCAAACTGCTAAAAGAGTCCCGCATTGTCCGATGGCCACCGTCACATAGCTAGTAACTCTTAGAATAGGCATTGCGAGAGGAAAGAATGACGACACACTAAATGCCTTGACCAACATCGACAAACTGGGTTAGTTGAGCGAGGGTGTAACCCTGCCAGCCATCTTCCCATTTGTTGAAAGTCAAGATAACTTTGTAGAAACTGAGGCCTTGCTGGTTCATGTACAAGAACCACATCGCCATCGCGCAGGGCCATAGCATCAGTCCATAGAACTGAACAAGTATACATGAGCACGTCTGGGTTACCCAGGTGATGAAACGTACCAAGTAGATATGGAAAAAAAAAGCGCCAACCTCGTAAGCCTATCGGTCCTGGCGTTGCGTGGTTTGCATTGCATCAAGTCTACAACAGGAAGTGAGCATAGGAAAGCTCATGAGTGCGTGAGCACCCACCCCACTCCGACTTCTCATACATTAACGAAATGGACATGATAACATCGTTGGTAATGGAATAGCAGGTTTGTTGATACGAGTTCAAAGGTAATTGCATAGCCTAGTAATACGTTTGCGACGATCGCCATGAATTGCGCATAACTTCCACCCTGCAACACCATGAGTATCAAACCCGCCGAGATCACACTGATTCCGCAAATGCGACTCACAGGCATGAGATACAATGTGACTTTCTTCAGGTTATCAAAGACTAGTCGACCCAACTCTATCGCGACAGGGATGGAAGCAAAGTCATTGTTCAACAAGATCAAGGCGGCTTGAGAGTGATGATATCAGTGTTATCGAAAAGACCGTCAGGAAAATCCATACCAGCTTCCTTGGCCACATCACTGCCACTACCCATCGCAACACCGATATCAGCAGCTTTGAGTGCTGGGGCATCATTGACACCATCTCCAGTGACTGCGACTGTATTGTCTCCGCGAGCTTTGATCTCTTCTACAATTCGCATTTTCTGGTCAGGGGTAGTGCGTGCAAATACGATCTCTGTGTAGGCCCCAACGATGACATTCCAATCAAGCGAGGTGAGAGATGCGACGTCTTCTCCTGTAAGTACCAGGGAGCGGATAGGATCATCATCCGATGGCTTGGTAAGGTGATAGTCTTTGGGCGAGACCTTCTCAGAAGAAGTACGGACATCCTGGATGGTGTCAACAATATGCTGGGTAATGATACCAACCTGAAAAGGGGGGTTAATATGGATTTTATGGCGGCGGAAAATAAAGAAAAACTACCTGGCGTGCGATAGCTAGAGCAGTGAGCTTAAAATCACCAGTGACCATAAAGACTCGAACGCCAGCTCGTCGAATGATAGAAATCGACGGCGATACATCCGGGCGAGGAGGATCGCAAATTCCAATTAGACCAACCAAGGTTAAATCGCACATCTCCATGTACATGAGATCTTCCACGCTGTTCGGTGAAAGTCCAGTCTTGATTTCTTCTATGTGTTTCCTACATCTATTACCTCGGCAACGATATCAGATGTCAAGGTGCTAAGTCAAAAGTGTTCATACTCACAGCACGAGTACTCGTTGGCCTCTGCTTGACCAATCCTCTTGAAGCGTGGCGAACGTCTGCCTTGCCGTACTTGTTAGCTTGACGACCGTCCCATTACTCTGTAACACACTGCCGCAGGAAGGGAACAAAACATCAGGAGCTCCCTTGACGAACATCCATGTCGACTCTACGTTCTTTCCAGCAGTGTTGACCTTGGAGACCACGGAAAGCATCCATTTGTTGTTGGAATTAAAAGGGATCTCAAACTTCTTCTGATAGTCTTGCTGAAGAGTGCTAACATCCACACCAAGCTCTGGTATTGAAAGGGCCTCGGAGAAACGCAAAAGAGCAGTATCAGTCGGATCACCCTTGATCGTACGATCCTGCACAGGAAGGTGGTTGGTCGTTGTATCGAAATTCGCGCCGTTGCAAAGCCTCGTGATCTGATGGAGCATCTTGAATGCAGAAAATACAGTAGGGTCTGATGCCTTCGTAACCCTCTCGTTAATTTCCTCGACATCAAATATGTCATCGAGGAAGGCAATATTCCTTACTGTCTATGGGTCCATCAGCAAGCTGGTAACAAGAGCAGATGCATCTTTTATCTTACCATCTTTCCCGCAGTCAGCGTGCCTGTCTTGTCGGAACACAACACAGACATGCATCCTAACGTCTCGATGGTCGCTAAATTCTTGACCAACACCTGACGTTTAGCCATGCGACGGGCAACAACAGACAACGAGAGTGCCACGCAAATCGGGAGGCCCTGTGAGATGTCAACTAAGAAGGGAATATAAACTTTCACTGCTGGCCACCTACTTGGGGAACGAAAGCAGTCAAGCAGCCAATTGAGTTTACGATGGCAGAAGACAGGGTATCATACCCAGGATACGATGTCCGCAACCAAACGCCGTATAGAAGAATCGATAAGCAGAAGAAAAAGAGTGCGACATATGAAACGATTTTGGTGAAAAACCATACTTCTCTTTGGATAGTGGTGAGCTTGAACTTTGTTTCTCCCGACATCTTGACAAGGCGTCCCATGACAGTCCTATCTCCCGTGGCGAACACTACTCCATGGCAAGTCCCTTGTACGACAAAAGTGGAAGTCAGTGCGAGGTTGCGAGTCTCCAAAGCATTGTCGGATGTTGCATGAAGAGCTCCCGGTACCATTTCGCTGCAATTAGACTTCAGCCAAATTCAAGCACGTAGGACAATGAACAGACCTTTCACCCGTCAGGAGAGACCGATCAAAGCGAAGGTTGGACGATGCCTGTACGACACGCATGTCGGCCGGGACACGATCGCCAGCGTCGAGCACAGCAACATCACCAACTACAATGTCAGCAGCTTCGATTATTTGCTGGTTTCCATCCCTAATGACTACAGCCTCATGTGCAATTAGAGATTTTATTGACTTCATGATTCTATTCGCGTTCCAATCGATCAAAGCATAGAATGCAGCAGAAACGACGATGACGAGGATCTATAGTTGATGAGGAGGGGGAAATTAAGCACCAGAGTTGAAAGTCACGAACCAACAACACGGCAATACCAAGAGTGAGAGGTATAGGAGGCCCGAGTGGTTTATAGGAGAGCTAACATGTATATTAGAAAAGACACTATGGCAGGTGGACAACAGCACTCACGATAGTCAAGATGAACGAGATCCACATGAGAAAATTGAAGCCACCAAAAATATAATCAAGCGTTTTTTTCCAGTAGACGGTAGGTGGAGGACTAATGATATTCTTGCCATCACGCTCTTTGCGACGAACAGCGGCAAGCTCCAAACCAACTGTGGGATGAGTGGAATACCGGGTATACACTTCGTCGACACTTAGTAGATGGGCATCTATGCCTCCAATTGTGTCTACTGGGTCTGACGAGGATTTAAAGGTCGTCTGTTTCTCTTCGACTTGACCTGATGATGTACGGTATCTGTTCGTTGTTAGGTCAACGATATACCACGCGGGAGGTAGAGCAAGAGCTCGTAGAGATGCAAATAGAACACGAACGCGATTTGAATGTCATAGCCTTTCCCGGAGCCGCGGCCGGGGTTAGGAGAGGGTATTGTGTCTAACATCGAAGTAACCTGCTTGAAGATCTTTGCTTCCTCTTATTATTCATCATATACTATCCTCAAGGCAATCCGTCGACTGTGCACAATTGCCAGACCCGAGAATTTTTAGTCTTGTGGCATTAATCCGAGTCATGCACCAGGTAAAACCCAGCATTGTTAGTGATCTAACGTTGAAGATCGAGAGGAAGCAGACCTCATTGTCAGGTCAGGTCAGCGTAGCACGTCAAACGTGTCAACATTGCATTTGCCATCCTTTAGTGAAGTAGAGGCAAAGCATGAAATCGGAGGAACGGCTGAGTATACCTGGAAAGGAAATCAACCACGGTCAAGATAGGGGACTACTGACACGCCGTCCTCAATACCGAGGGATCTGTAGAAAATAAATAGCATGCTATCAGTAATTTCATGTGTGGATGTGACTTCCCTTATTTGTTGTGTCCGATGCGTTATCATAGTCTAGAGGTATAATTCATGTGTCGGCTGCCAAGCGTCGTTAACGCGAAACCGTGGGCAGATCACGTGCGATACGCCAGAACAACTTCACTTTCCTGCCACCCGGACTCAGTTTAATCCATACATGCGGCCTCGCGTTTTCTTCGACTTTGCAATAGGCACTGAGCCTGCAGGGCGGTAATTAACACCCCTATATTGCACTGGTTTTAATGCCTTATCACTTCATCCCAGAGTCATTTTCGAACTTTACAACGATACAGCACCAAAGACAGCTGAAAAGTGAATGAACCTACATTGTATGCGGGCCTGATCTGACCATCTTCATAGCTTTCGAGCGCTATGTACGGGCGAGAAAGGTCTTTCCGCTGTTTCTGAACGGCCTCTGTACTACAAGAATAGCATCATTCACCGTTCAATACGCGATTTTATGATTCAGGGTGGAGGTCCGCCATTCTATCACTTCATTCTTGGGCATTACTCATGGTCATCAGACTTTACGAAACGAAATGGCTCTGGGGGAGAATCCATCTACGGCAGTGCTTTCCCTGACGAAGACTTGACGCGACCTTTGGAATCAGAAGGGTAGGTTCACCATCGAATGCCTCGGTACTTCACTCATGTCCCCAATCTCACGGTACAGCCTTCTTTGTATGGCCAACAAGGGGCCTAACACAAATGGATCACAGTTCTTTGTTACCCTGCGAGATTGTCCGCATTTAAATGGTGAGCCTTTGTTCTAGAAAATTCGCATGCGTCTTTAATGTGAGGCCCTCATAGGCAAGCATGTCGTATTTGGCCGGGTCATACGTGGATACGAAGAAGTCGTCAAGAAACTTGCTGTGGTTCCCGTAGATGATAAGGATAGGCCTCATCACCCTATCGTTATCGTCAACTGCGGTGAACTTGAACTTAAGCGGAAGGTAGAAGCGTCTCAAGGTGCGCCCTTCTCGCAAGAAGTTCTGATAAAGTGACTGATATCCTTCCAAGGTGAAGAATTAAATGCAGAAGTTCCTAGTCGAAGACGTCACAGCAGTCGCTCGCGCTCACAAAGTTCAGATCATGATCGTGGCACTCAAAAGAAGAAAAAGTCCAAGCGCCGAAAACATGAAAGCAAAGTGGATACCAAAACGGATGAGGGTCCCAAGAGTGAAGACGAGAAAGTTCCCAGGCAAGAAACCGAAGAGGAGTATGATGCCAGACTAGAAAGAGAGGAGCAGGAGCGGTTAGAAGAGGCTAAGCGAAGGGAACTGGAGCGGATCAAGCGCAAATATGAATCTACACCTCCTGCGAGCGAAGGAGGTGTGCGATTTAAAGGTCGGTCATCTCTAGCTGCACCTATGTCAAAAGCTGAAGCAGGGTTTTAGGACGAGGGCGAATGAAGTTCATTGACCCCGAACTTCACCATCGACGATAGAAAATCTTGTTCACATTATACTCTATAGTTTGTAATGCTCATCAACATCATCCGCAATACCCCAAAATCACAAAATGTCATAGAAATCAGAGCAAGTGTAGAGATAAAAAGTCATAAACACAATACACTACACACTTACTTCTGCGACCTGCTCAGTAACCTTGTCCACGGGCGACTCTTCCTTCTCTTCAGCCTTGGCGTTTAATGCATCCTTCTTCGCACTAGCAACGTTGGCAAAGCTAATCGATGGTCTAATGTTTGCTGACGTTGTCGGTGTAGCATGAGAGACGCGCGGAGATCCAGGGGTAGGCGGCGTAGCGATAAGTTGGGGCGGCGACCGTGTACCAGTAATAGGACTTCGTTCAGTCGCTTGACGGGAGGAGTTGCGTGACATTGGGTGCGGAACACGTTCCTTCAGGGCTTCACGATCCTTCTCAACGCGAGCAGTAATTTCGCGTTCTTTTGAGGTAAGATCAACTGGTCTACAGATAACTTGAGCACTTGACAGGTTGAATATCACAAAAAATACGGACCTGGCTGCGCCGAAAGGATTAGCTTTGGGAGCAGACGGCGCACCGGGATTAGAAGCCATTTTCGGAGAAGAGAGGGGAGAGGGACTAGCAGAGTTGGAAGAACGGGGGAGAAGCTCGAGCTTACGACGACCCATCTGGGGTGTAGGGGGTGTGGAACTGGTTGCTATCATCCGAGGTTTCAACCCATACCCTTAATATGTGCTGAAAATGATACTTACGCGATGTTTTCGATCGTCCAGCGCGCCAGTCGCCCTCATCGGCGGGCGGTTCTCTCGTGTGTTGTGAATCATGACTGCCTCTCAAACTGCCAAATCTCGATGGCGGGTCTTCTGTCGACGGCTTGAACTTGCTCCCAAGGGCCCATTTATCCTCGCTGTCTGCAGGCGATTGACCTTCGGGCGTGGAGAATCCTGAGCCTCTCCGCCTAAATGACGGAGCCTCTGGTTCAGGGATCTTTGCAAGAGGCTTACTTGACCTCCACTGGCTGACCTCGTCTGAGACACTGGGTGGAGGTGGCATGCGATCTCCCGGAGGACCATCGAACCGACGTCGGGAAGAATCGCGTGAATCCAGCATGTTGGATGGGGGGCCTTCACGGCGCCAGTTACCAGAGAACTTGGAGTCATCGTCGAAGCCAGACCCTGAGAATCCGGACCTTTCCTTTGCTGTGAAATGCTAAGTCTTGAAAGCCTCGAAAGAGTGTCTTCAGGACTCACGAGGCTCGGCGACGCTGGTACGAACTGTCCGTCCAGAAAGGCTCTAGAAGGGAATCAACTACGGCACAAAGAAAACAAATGACAAATTCACTGACACTACCGGTCTTTGCCAGTGCATCTTTTAATCCATCAAGCTCTACGAACTCGACATATCCAAAGCCTTTCGGCTTGTCATCACGGTCCTTGATGATTTTGATGGATTTGGTCTGACCAAAAGTGACATTACGTCATGCATATCAGGTCGCAGAAATACATACCTCATGAGGTCCAAAGAAGCTTTCAAGTTCGCCTTCAGTGATGTCAAAGGAGAGATTTGCGACGTAGGCAGTGTAAGGGGGTTGGGTGGGCAGGGGGAGATCTTCCCGAGGCGACGCAAACGATCGATCGGCTACGTGGAGTATGAATCGATATGAATCACGAGACTCATAATGAGAACTTACGCCGCGACGATGAAAAGTCGTCCCTTCTCCCGAACCGATCACCAGGTCGAGGCCTGTCATCATCCGTTCTCATCGACGCTAGGCGAATTCCGATAAGCTAAATCCTCATGAGAATAGACAAGCACGTACGAGCACTCGGAAGAGAATCCATCTCATCCGCCCATGATCCCAGCGCTACGCGTCACATTATAACCGACCTTTCATGAAAAATGACCAACGCACTGCTATCGCCGAGAAATTCATTGAGAGACATCTTTGATGCCTTTGATTTTTTAGGCGCTACATATCTTTGAGCTTCGAGCCATTTGACATTAGGAAAAAAACTAACCCATGATTGAAAACCTTGTGCAGCACTTTTCGCTGTATGATCTGTCGCTTGCTAGCTTGGATAAGTAGCAAAAAGCAAGAAAGAAATCATTCGGCGGCTGCGACCAAAAGACTTTCTCACGCTTGTGTCCTACATAGATAACACACGGACCAACACGGTGCACCGCAGCAAACGTCGACAACATGATCCTCCTCGAGGTGAGCAACGTTGGAAATCTCCTTTGAAGACGCGTGTTCAGATGCGGCTGCTAGTCCCATAATCTCATCATTCAGACCACGCTTGCGGAAAAGATCGCAAAGTGAGATTGTCATTGACTAACACTGCGCACGCTAATGAGATGTCCAGGCCGTCGTCTCTTGATGTTTTGTTTGTAGATTTTGATGGCGTGAGGTTTCATCTATCAACGCCAGAAAAGAAGACAGTGGTTCAGCTTTCTATGAATATCCGATGCTGGGATGAGCTAGTTGCATATGGAGCGATGGAGATATTGCAACGGGAGTATGGCCCACTCATTAAACAGCAGACAGAGCCAGAATATAACATCAGTCTTGATATAGATATTGATCAGGTTCCAGCCGATGAAGGTACGTGCGGCTCCACTGTGTATTTGTCTGACTCAATTGGTGTCTGCAGAAAGCAGAGAAGCATTCGTGAAGTCTATCTCGCTATTCAAGCGGAACGCTCTAGCGGCACCATTCGAGCTCGCATTTAAGCAACAGAAAGAGTTGGAAGCATCAGGTGGTGCTCAGGGGCAGTTAATGCAGATCCACTACCGCGATGAAGAAGCCATATACATTCAAGCATCGCCCGACCGTGTCACTGTGATATTCTCGACAGTCTTCAGGGAGGAGACAGATCGTATTTTTGGCAAGGTATTCTTGCAGGTAAGAATACTCTCTGATTTCTCGCATCATGCCTGACGTTGCAACCAGGAATTCGTAGACGCACGACGGCAGCCCAGTATTCAAAATGCCCCCCAAGTGCTCTACACGAACCGCGACCCACCCTTGGAAATCCGCGATCTCGCAGGTCTACGGAACACTGATGATATTGGCTATGTTACCTTTGTCCTCTTCCCTCGCCACTTTGCGAACGCCAACATCTCGTTCAATACGATATCGCACATACAGCTATTCCGCGATTATCTACACTACCACATCAAGTGCTCAAAGGCGTACATGCACTCCCGTATGCGTCATAGGGTAGCCGAGTTCCAGAAAGTCCTGAACCGCGCGAAGACGGAGGTGGCGACAACCGAACGCAAAACTGTCACGTATGTTAAGTGCCTTTCGTTAAGTGTCCAGCTAACGGTGTGTTACAGTGGCCGAACTATGACGAATCGGTGAGATGGACGGACGAGGTACCTTTACCCAGCGTGTAATTTTAGTAGTATAATCGTCAAGACGTCTTTTATGAAATTTAACTCACTGCGCAGCTATTGTTCTCAACGAAGGGACTCCATTATCGTTGGGATTCTTTGTTGAGAACCTCAATCTGTGGTTTGCAGAGAATACAGAAACACCTACCGAAGTTCCTCCCGAGCATCCGATAAAGCTGACATTCCTTTTCTCTCTCTCCAGTGCACAGCCCAGAATTGTCAGTCACTGCTGCAACATCTTCACCACCTGACCTCCACAGGCAGATAATTGCTCACTTGTTAACGTTGGACTTCTACACATTATAGGACTCGGAAACGTCGGATGAAACTCATGAATCTGGACGAGCGCAGTTCTGGGAAGCGCTTGCGCCGGTGTTTTCTCCTTTCTCCCTTGCCGTAGGTTGAGACCGAAATAGTACTAGATAGTATGTGATAAGTACAATTTGATACAACACAAAATTTTTGGGGTACTGTTCCATGGAGGCGCTGTCAGCCTTAAGTCTGAATAAACATGCATCGGGTTCCTGGAATATTTCTAGCGTTCTGACGTTCATCATGTCATCGACAGAAGTCGCGTCCCTAAGTTGCGCAATGATATCGGAGACCCAGGCGCAGACTAATAATATATATTCCACGCTACAAGTCTCATCGTCAATGTCTGGCAGCTCTGCGAACTTCCGCATGTAGGCTATCTATGTTGCTGTGATGGCGGTTTCCCTGTCTAGATCTATTGTTTACAGTCCTGTCTTTCTTGCAGCCTACCGAAGGGGAGTCCTTGTATGGCCGGATACGATACTATTCGGTACTATACGATGCAAAGTTCTATGGGTATTTTTGCATGCAAGTGCTGTCAAGTATAAACGAAAATGCGTCAGAGATCCAGTTCTCGGCAGCTACAATATCTCCAGTGTCCTGATGTCCATCATATCAACAACAGAGGCGATGTCTCTAACTTGGGCGATGATCTCATTATCCGAAGCGATTCTCTTATACTCCCCACCCCGCTGCTGCGCTAGTAAAAGTGCGCTAAAAGGCTGTCCAAGGCGAACAACCAACTCCAACTCTCGCGTGTGGGACCGCGAATCCTGCTTCCCTAGTAAATGTACGCCCAAACGTTGTCCGAGGCGAACGAGCAGGCTCGACTCTCGCACAGGAGACTGCGAACCAGCCGGTTCGTTGTCTGAGGGAGATAAGTCGAGCGGATCATCTGACGGAGACCCATGCTCAGGCCGATCGTCCCCGCTCTGCATCTTGTCTGTAAAGTCGGGTAGCCCAAGGTCATGACGATTCCATGGACGGATGAGCACGAATTTCTGCAAGGTGGGCCTTCCAGGCCAGGATTGAGCCAGCGCGTCCGCCGTTGTGATTTCCAAATCTTGAAGTCCGTCCGCCTTTATGTGATAAGTGCAAGGTGTACCGACCCTCCGCCTGACTTCTGTGAGAGAAAATGCGATACAAGGCAATTGCAGTCTGGCATTGGCAAAACGAGGGACGCTGAGGTTCTCAAGGAGGGTATACAGTTTTGAAGCCGACTTCACAACCACAATATTGTTTCGCAGTTTGGAGATCAATATCTGCATGTCGTGTTCAGATAGAAGTGGCAGCGTGCATGACAGAGCCTTGTATGAGAAAATTTCGGCTGGGAGACAACTGTTGAAATTGGACGATTGTCCCACCCAATCAAGGGCTGTGATGTCGCCCGAATGGGCTATGATCTCCTGCAAGAGTCGTCCGAGCGCCTTTTGTTTTTTCTCTCCGTAGATAACTGGAAGGTTAACATCGAAGATGCCAAACAAAGAGTAGGCAATGTCTTCCTCCCTCGTGGTGTCACGGTTTGACGCCCATCGGAGTTTCTCTCGGGCGTCTCCTGTCCCTGGACGGAAGTCTATGAGGGCCCGCGCATTTATGCCAGTTGAATGCTCCAACTCCTCCATGATACTGACAGACTGCTTGTGATTGCATGAGCGGTCGTCGAGATATAGAGTCCAATTTGCTTGGTAGAAGAGAACAATTTTAGGAGCGAGGAACTCCTGAACAGTCCATCCTCGCGTGTTCCAAACACTGTTTGCAAGCGCGCCCGACGAAGGCAGGACATCCGATAGGTAGACGATGGTGAGCGCTGAGTGGTGATACCAGACGAACATGGAATTGACCGATTCTCCGAGCTCCACATTGTTGTTCTGGTCGATGCAACATGTATCAACCCACGCCCAGCGATACCCGCCGTCGCGAGCGACTTTACAGAACTTCTGCAACTTCACGATGGTTCCGACTGGATCCAAGTTGTAATATGTCCCTGCCCTGAATATCGTGCAGCCCCGGCTCCTTTGTTCCCCACCTATGGGACAACATGACCCAACTGAAGTACTTGATGACGGCTTCTTTAATGAGCTCCGTTTGGAGGGGCGCGTGCACGTCTAATGAATGCAAAAGCTCTTTGTACTCTATACTCGCAGTGAATGCACTGATCTGCGCATCTCGATGGCACAGACGTCCAGTAGAGGTGTTGATCAAACGAACGGGGGCGTTTTGCAGTTGGACGTGAATGGCTCGTCGAATAACATATCCTACTTCAGATGGACTGACGTATTGCCTGGCGTGGCTCTGCAAAAATCGTAAGCCATGTTGAAGTTGGCGCTCGAGTTGTTTGGGGCTTACGTCGTATCTGTGGGTCGGGTGCATCATCCAACTTGGAGAGCATAATTGCGAAGGCCTCGAATGCATCATCATAGCGCTGTGCTCCACGAAGCGCTGCATACTTCAATTCGTACCCGAGATAGGACAAAGGGTTGAGCTCAACGACCTACGAACATCATCACCAATGTTAAAACAATAACAGATATCATCCGCACCTTGTGCGCGTCCGAAAGGGCCTCCGCATAGAGTTTTTGTCCCAACTTTACCTTACTGCGGTGCGCAAAGTAGAAATCGCACGAGGAATCCTTTCCAAATGAAAATGCGTTCTCGATGGACCAGAGCTGAAGATTCCCATCACAGTCTCCACTCGCGAGCAGTTCTCCATTGGGTGAAATGGCAACGCAGAAAACATATGTGGTGTGTTTGACTGGCTGTCCTATCCGCTTGTGTGACTCGGTGCTCCAGAGTTGCACAGTCTTCTCGTTGCAGGCGGTTGCGATGAAGGAGCCATCAGAAGAGATGGCCAGGGAGTTGATTTTGTCAGTGTGACCGATGCAAGGTTGACCGATCTGAGTCCCATTGGAGGAGTCCCAAAACTTGACTGTTTTGTCGTGTGATGCAGAGACAATTTGCTGGCTGTCGGGCTGTCCACACAAGGCTTTGAACCTGATCGTCGTGAGCGTGGATCTTGAGAAGTACGCTCAGCGTTCTCGGTGCGCCAAACCCGAACAATATTATGTGATCCACATGCTAATTTTAGACCATCTGGGCTGAAGGCGGCGCAATACACCCGACCTTCGATAATTCTATCTCGGAAAGCACCGTTCTCCGCATCCCGTATAAAGCTTTCACGACCTGAACTGGTTGCGATTTTTTTGCCATCGGGGGAGAAACACACCGACTCAACCCGGTCAATATATTTCGGCGGTTTGAATACCACCTGCTGGCTATCGACGTCCCAGATGATGACGTCTCCTTGATTTCCACCGCTCATAATTCGCCTATTGTCTGGCGATAAAGCGACTGAAACCACACCGCCACGCCCACCGTGTCCCTCGAACGGCTCTCCGACCAATGTTCTTTTCTCCACGTCCCAGATTCGCAGGGTTCCATCCCACGAAGCAGTGACGATTCGTCGACCATCTCTGAAGAACGCGACTGCTGACACTACCGACGTGTGCGCTCGCATTTTTAGTATTGGCGCCGGCGTTGCACCCCATTTCATAGTAAGATATGCTTTTTTTGCTACGTCGAGCAATCCCGACATATCGCTAGATAGAAAGATGGACGGTCAGTGGCGTTTGAAGTAAACGAGGAGCGTACTCTGTGCTGCCCTCGTCAATCTTATGTGTTGTGAACAGAGTGGATCTCTGTCCATAACCTAATTCGTGTAGGCTCTTTATATACATATCGTTTGCTCCTTACCACGTTGCCACAGCATGAAACTAATTTCGATTCTTACACCATGCCTCATCTGTAAAACACCCAAGTGCTCGCTTAGTAGTGTAAGAAGTTTGATGTGTTACGAACGCTTACGACTCAGTGATGCAGCTTGCCGATTGGTGGAGATCGTGCAACGGTGAGGTAAAACTCGGTAAAACTACAGAGATGAGATTGATCATAGATTTTCAGATAAAAAAGATTATCACTGATCATTGCCTTATCACAATCAAAGATAGTACACAATCATCATCGATATCATTATGTATGCATCTATAGTACTACAAACCCAGCCTGGCCTCCCCGTGCGTTCCTTGATCTTTGCCTTCAATGCCTTAAAATTGCACTGTGAGCTCAGCGCAGGGGCATATCTTGTTTGAAATGTATGTAAGAATGCTCCGGTAAGTATCGCCCGATTTCGCTGTTGAAAATTCAACACGTTTGTATGTACCAGCCTTGTACTCCATAAGCGTTGAGCACAGCGCTGCGCCTGCAAGAGCGATAACACCATCCAGCGCTGTCAGATCATCAAAATTGATGTCTTTATAAAACCCATGGGCCCACAAGATCTCAATGACGAGACTAACCAGTCCATTGTGTTCAAGCACAGCGACAGATTGTAAAATACTGTTGAGTGTCTGGTTAATTGTCACTGGTCAGTACGGCCCACCACAAGTGAAATGACCTACTATGTTCACAGAGGTGAACAAACATTGCAGGTGTGTCGTGAGTGTGGGCACAATCCGTAGTTTGTGAGCGACTTCTGACGATATATCCCATATATTGAGTCCAAGCTCATACTTGTGCTGCGCAATACAGGCTATACTGTCAGATTGAAGCTTAAATAAGTGTGATTAGACATGAAGTGTGATGCAAAAAGTGTCTAGTTAGCTGATGTGTGTAGCTTGATGCTTCAAAGAAGCACCTTGATGCTTCAAAAGTTCGTGTGTCTGCCATGATGCTTAAAGGCTTCCCACAATGCATAAAATCTTAGACGCACCTCATTTGGCAGGCTAGATCCCTTTGTGCATTTGGTTCCTCCTTCGCTGGCCTTCCCCAGGGCTTCCCACAATGCATAAAACCTTAGATGCACCTTGTTTGGCAGGCTAGATCCCTTTGTGCGTTTGTTTGCTCCTTGGCTGCTGTTTCCCTCCCCTTCCTGGCATCTCCCCTCGGTGCCTCTTGGGTTCTTGTCTTCGTTTCCCAGCTTCTCGTCTGTTTTTGTGCTTGTGGGTTGCCATATTGGCTCTGTTCTCGACCCAGCTGTTAGTTGTTATGTTCCTTGATGTAGATTCTGATATTATACATCATATAAGCATGTTTCTCCTTGATGTGAAGAAGTTAGGGCCATTTCTCCCGCAAGTTCTTGATTTCATGTGATCAAGATCGAGATTTGAGCAAGAAATTTCACTAAGTCCAGCAACTTGTATGTGCACCTATTTTTTCAACAAGTCCAGTACCCTTTATGCGCACCTATTTTTGCTAATGATATAAACAAGTGCACTGAGACGAAAGCTATATATACTAGTGACAAGAAATTAACATGTATTGAGTAGTGAAGATGGTTTTAAATACATGCTTGCAGGATTAACAGTATCAGATTATGTACGGAGTCTCGTACTATGTAGGTGCAACACAAAAACAACATTCAGTGACCAACCGATTCAAGTGACACCACGACTCAGGTAGATTTGTGTTTCCTTGTGATTAAATGAGCATAATACAACAAATCTAATATTGACACCTACTTCTTTTGAGGGGCACTCTTGTTTTCGCCTGTGTGAGGTCTCTTCATGGTTGCACCTATCATATTTGCCTGGGCCATACGAGTTGACTCTTGACGAACCCACGTCGTCTTGCGTAGAGGTGCCGTTATGGTATCATCCAAGGTAGAAAGCTCAGTAGAAGGCTGAACTGCCACTCGATGCGGATGCTTCTCTTTACTCACTCTACTATTCTTAGAATGATTCTCACCAGCTGGAGTAGCGCACACACGCTCATCTACCTCGTCCACTCCAGCTTGTACTTGTTCCAGGGCAGCAGATGCCGAAGTAGCACACACGCGCTTGTCCACTCCAGCTTGTACTTGCCCGGGTTGTTCCAGGGCAGCGGATGTTGTATGAAGGACTGGTTGGTCAATACTAAGAGGACGAGTGACAACAGGGTCGAGGGTGTATTTTTGATGAGCGTCCGTTACTGCCGTAGGATTCAAGGCAGAATTGTCGGCCTGAGGAGCGTGAGCAGTCACATGGTGAAGGGCTGGTTGTTGCAGAGAAGTATCCGTGTAAGAAGGATTTAGCGCTGTGTTACTAGGGAAGTTGATGGGGTTCAAAACAATGTGAGGTTGGACGACATGAGGTTGGTTCGAAACAACATGAGGTTGGCTTCCATGTGCACCGTCCAAGGAAGGGGGAGAATAGAAGTTGAAGTTATAGGGAAGTACGTCGGATTGATTCAAGGGGGCCATATGAAGCGGTGGCATCGAGTTCCAGTACCCCTCGTTCCATGATGTGATAGGTGAGAGAGATGGCGAAGGAAGCGCTAATGTTGAATTGGATGGGAATGATCCCCCTGGCAGTGTCAGCGTTTGAAGGACAGGCGATAGCATCGACTGGGGGAGAGTCCCAGAATTCTCACCAGAGAAAGAATACATGCCATTGTTGAATGATGGAAACTCGGGTCCTTGTGAGTTGAGTTGAGGTTGAGGGATGATAGGAGGACCTGTGACTGCCACTCCATTGGATCCACCAGCGGATCCTGGACCTGTGAAAGCGTGCGATGCGAATGATTGTGCCGAATCCAATGTGAACGGCACGTGCGATTGTGCGCTCTCTGACGTTGTTGGCGCTGCATCTTCCAATGAGGTGTTCTCATCTTGCACCACTGGAGGGACGTAGTCTAGAGCACACTTTTTCCTGTCATCCTCGCCTGTAGTCCCATTAGCGAATGAATTTAAATAAATAAAAAACACGTACTGAATACTGTCGCAAGATAACCCAGATAAGGGTTCAGATGATTCAGTGTTGCCTGCTTCCATGTAAGACCGGATTTGTTGATGCCTGTATGATAGCTGGGGAGCTAATATTAGAGCGCAACGAGGGTCAAAAAGCACAAATTCCCATACCTCGATACATTGAGCATACCACCAAGGTGAGGGTCTGGGCCTCCGCCAATGACTGTCCACTCCCAGCCAGTAAGTTGCCTCACTGCATCCAAAAATTGAGAGATTGGACCAATACACTCTTCTAACGCCCTAACAATCATAGATGTGAGTGAGAGATGAAAACTTCAAGGATTTACTTACTTCGCGTACTGTGCATTGGTAGGTTGTTCAGTTGCTTGTGCCCCTGGCAACATCGCCGAGATCTTGGCATTCCACTCCTTGGCAGCCTTCGTCTTACATAAGGACTTGATTTCAGATGAAGCAGCCTCATATGCAGCCTTGGTCGTCTCCCGCACTGCCAGTAGTTTCTTGTTTTTCCTTACCAGCTGCCCAGACTCAATTTTCTCCTGGATCTTTGCCCACACATCGGTGTCATAGTTCATTTTGGAGAATATTTCGACTTCCGTATGAACTCGCGTTCCTTTCGCTTTATTGCCAAGCATCTTGTTGATTGATTTTGTCATCAAGTTGAGGGTCGATCGACCGCTTTTATGGGATCTATAATTGAACCAGTTTTTAATTTGCTATTAACACCGTGAGCATGTTGCATCATGACATGATGAGATGTAGAAACCTGTTGGCGCCTAGCCACTGCCTCTCCCAGCAACTCTTTCTCTACCTCAGTCAGGTGTGGATGTTTAGACTTGTCTGGGTATTGCACGTCGATTTCAGGCCATTGTTTCAAGAACTCAAGGCTAACAGTATCCCAAAAGGATGTCAAAGTTCCTTGAAGCTGTTGCTTCAAGAACTCGCTGAATTGCAACTCCAAGTAGGCCTTTTGTTCTCTGTTTGTCCATTGAGCTCCGACCATCTTAAACTGACCCCACAATTAGTGACAGCATCTCCTCAGGGTATTTCATCACTGCTTACCCCTTTTCGATCTCGGCGGTTCGGCAAATTTGGTGTGAGGCTTTAAGGTGCTGTCATCGGTGAGTCTCTCATCATGTATTTTGTCACCACTTACCTTTTTGCAAATCGGGTGTGAGGCTTTAAGGTGCTGTAATCGATATTAGCATATCTCCAGATCTCGGCCATCGTCACTGACCTGTTTTTCAGTTTGCTTTGCTGGAGTTCTGTATGCTGCCTGTCGGATTTTTTTCCAGTAAACAAACTACAATCCAGAATTAAAATAAGGTTCAGCCTCCTTGAGCATCCAATCATATCCTTGCCTTCCTACGGCACATTAGATCGGAGTTAAATTTTGATCGATAAAATTGTTCTCACTCTCATTTCGCCTGGTTCATTTTGAAATGTGCAATTCCAATAATAACAACAACACTCGCCATCCGTTGACTGTGGAACCCCAAAAATTCACTATAAACGAACTAGCAGCAGCTCTACAGCTCATTAGAGACCAGGAAGGTGAGCAGATTTATTGATTTCTCTGTCACAATAGCACCATCTTACCTAACACACAGAAATCTTAAAAGTTCTTGAGGGGACTTCAACTGGGGATCTTCCTTCGCTTGACTTGATGCTTGATGACTCAGAGCGCCCTTCTTGTGTCACCTGCGGTGCCAAGACCCCCACGGAAGAAGACACAAAACCGGCAAAACCCATTATCAGCGCTGGTATGATATTTGTTACAACTGTTGCTCAAACCAAATTTAATGTAGTTTCAGATGTTCTCATAGCGCTTCTGGCAAATGATGGGATGTCGCCTAGCACTGCCATAGTATTAGAGTGATTTCTTGTTTCTTGTATCTGCATCATCGTTCTTGTACCATGTAGCCGCATCATCATTCTTGTATCTTGTAGCTGCATCATTTTCTTGCAATAAATACCATCATTACCGCTGTAATGCACTCGGCCGATGGTGACATCAAGCAAATGCAATGACCACAAGTGCATGTGTGATTGGATTGAACAGATACATGTGTATGATACTAAGAGGAGCTGGCCAACTGTGCTGTTCAAAATTTGTTGAGTCAATGCTCGGTTTCATGGGTCTCGAAGTGCTCGTGTGCTGACAATGGATACTATATGTATGATAAGAGGAACTGCCATAGGCTACGTGTGTTATTCAAATTTGTTGTTGAGTAAATGTTCGGTTTCATGTGTCCCGAAGTGCTCGTGCGCTGATGCTTTTAGCCTTAAAGCTTGAGTTAGTAGTACTATGGTTCAAGGAAGTCTCACGCCTGGCCATACACCTTCATCGACCACAAGTACTGTTACTACACTCTTCTTTGGATATCCTTGCTTTGCTTGACTTTATGCCACCCAAGTATAAGAACGAGCAACAACATTGCGAGGCTCAACTGAAATCCAAGCGCAGATGTTATGAAAGGTAAGCCTCTGAGTTTAGACAGAGCGTGTAGATTACAATTGATCGTACTTCATGTAGGCACAAGCTCGATGAGCGCTTAAAGTCTAGGACTCGTTGGCGCAAGCATCTTGGAGCCACTGTGGTATGTACCCTCATACTATCAATCATACACTTTATACTAATTGGATAAACTACGAGACCAGGCTACACAAAGTTTTCTAGCGTGACTAGACTCGATATGGCTCAACCTTGGCTATCACACAGGCCTTTCTCAATACACGGTTCTCGAGTCACAGAGCCTCATGCTTGTCCGTGAGGTGACTGATGAAGGTTGGCAGGTTATCAGACCGAATTATGAACCCATAGTAGCGGACGCGCAAGAACTTCTTTCAGAAGCCAGGGAGGTACTTTCAGGTGCATTGCATGCAGAGGGTGCATGCACAGACCATCTTATCTTAGGGTCCGCGGCCGCTGTTGATGCAGTAGAGCTGCACTGTGATGCATGGGACGAAGCACTCTCACTAATGGCTGATAGCGCAGATACATACTTTGATGCTCTCATGTCTGATCAGTTGGTATGGCAGAGGACATCAAAATCACATTGACAGACATTAGCGTCTCTGTAACTACTCTTAGGTTTATCATAATGTTGAGTTTTTGGGCACCGCATAGCATCTGCCACATCCTGTGCTATTACACACTGCGCTATTACACAGCACCCATAAACATTGCCTCCACACCCAACCACCATGGTCAGCAAAAAACAATGTGCATTGGACAAGCTTAAGCAAGATTGGTATATACTGAATAGACAGCACCAGCAAGCCAAAAGGCGTGTAGCTGAGGAGCACACACTTTACCACAAACATTCCTGCTTCACTCGTACATCTTCCGGCAACATAACCTCTGAAATGGAATTCTTTGTAGCTGAACATCTGCCATCTTCAGTCGCCTCACACCCAGCCTCACACCCACCATCAGGCTCCAATACGACTATGGAAGATTTCGGCTTCAATTCGTATGGTCACACCGACATCAACTCACTCGTAGACTATGACATGGTGGATCCTGCATATGAGAATTTTTTGAAGGAGTCTACTGTTGGGCCAAAGAAACGTCTCAGGCCAACTGGTGTATGATATATTTTAATTGTATGATATCTTAAGTTAACTTAAACTGAACAGGACTGCACAATGGCTCTTTGGCTTGATGAACGCGAGAAATATCTTCTGGAGCTTATCAGACTCGAAGGTCGTGGGGACTATGCTTCTAGGGAAACTTGCCAAGGGCGCAGTGAATGCATGTCTGAGCCTGCGTATTGCTGCCGGGACTGTTTTGGGACAGAGCTCTACTGCCAAGCGTGTATCATAAACAGGCACCGTGAAAACCCTTTGCACAGGATTGAGGTACATACCCTAGTTTATATGTTTGTAGCTGTTGCATGCTGATCACCCCTTCAGTTCTGGAACGGTTGCTTCTTCGAGGACACCACACTAAAGTGTCTCGGACTCCGGGTCCAGCTTGGCCACCCCATTGGGGAACGATGCTTCAATCATTCGCGGGCCTATGACGATGATTTTGTCATTCTTGACACTAATGGCATCCATGAACTTGCCTTGGATTTTTGTTCATGTGAGAGTGTGCTAACTCACATCAAACAACTCCTGCAAGCTCGCTGGTATCCTGCGACCAGCGCCAATCCAAAATCAGCAGCAACATTCTGCCTTCGAATACTGGCAAACCCTTGCGCGTCTTACTGACAATACAGGCATCAAGCCATGCAAGGTAATTCTAGCATGTCTCAATCCAAGCATGTTTTGCTAACTACTAGTTCCTTAGGATCGTTACAACAGTCTCTTGCGCATGATCAAGCAATGGCGTAACCTCAAGCTCTTGAAGTGGTTTGGCCGAGGTCACGATCCCTCTGGCATCGATGCGGCCAAACAGGGGTCATGTGCCGTTGTTTGCCCTGCATGCCCCCACCCAGGCAAGAACCTACCAGAAGACTGGAAAGCAGCGCTTCCGGACAAATGGTATGTGTTCACATCCTTACTTGATTGACTGAGACTTATGCCTGCAGGTGGCTGTATGCACAATTTCTGGCCATTGATGCGAATTTTCGCCTGGCACGCAAGAACGTTTCTTCGGACAGGATCGACTGTCATATCCCATATTCCGGACCTTCATCCAATGATGTTCCCACGCCTTCCGGACGCCTTCCGGATGCACATCTGGACCTCCATACCCTTATCCATGACTCCATACCCTTATCCATGCCTTCAGTCCTCCAGTCCACTATCAGTTTGGATCCGTACACCTTCGTACATCCATATATCAATACCTTCGGACCTCCGCAGCTAAGCCTGCTTCATCCACCCTTAGTCCTATCGGATCCGAGCTCATTCCATCTCAGACTCTACCTTCCCTAGACTATCGGTCTATATCCATGATCCATATCCTAGTCTTGTATTCACCTAGATCTCCGGATCCACTCATCCGATATCCAGACACTTCATCCAATATCTCTAGACCTCCAGATCCAACCTATACTCATATCCGAGGCCCAAACCTTAAATCAGCGCCTTAGACTTTGCTCTGTCTCAACATTGACTTGCTCTCTTGCACATTAGACTTCATTCATTCTTGTCTCGGACTTTGGTCCATCTGAGTTCTGCCTTTCCATTAAGGCCTAGGGATGGATTCCCTAGGCCGGAAATCCAGACCTTTGGATTTGTCCCCTATGTCTCTGTTCTGAAGTCTAGGGATTGATTCCCTAGACCGAAGTTTTGTCTTTCCGGCACTTCCTGTCTTTCCGAGACTTCTGTCTAAACCCCGTCTATCCAACTCTACCATAGTGTAGTCTACCTCTGTTGTTTCTACTCCGGACCTTGTCCGTAGTAGCCTTTCCCCTCCTGTCCTAATCCTGTCCACTCCTCCGGTCCTCGTAAACCTTCGGATCTTCGGATGTCGTAACCTTCGGACGTTGTAACCTTCAGACGACGTACCCTTTGGACGTTGTAACCTTCAGACGATGTACCCTTCAGACGATGTACCCTTCAGACGATGTACCCTTCAGACGATGTACCCTTCAGATGCTGTTATCTTCGGACCTCCAAATGTCCTGTCCTTCGGACCTCCGGACGTCCTGTCCTTCGGACCACTCCTCCTATCCTATCCTGCTTTGGACTCTGTCCCTTGCAGCCTATCCTCTATGTGTTTCTATCTAGGGAACTTACTTTGGAAGTCTTACCTTCGGATCTGATACAGTGGATGAAACTCCTCCGGAGTTTCCTATACTCCTCTGGAAGTTTCTCGCACTCATCCGGAAGTCCTCTAGCACTCTACTAGAGTAGCCAGCCTCCGGAAGTCCTTCGGACTTCGTCGGATTCCATCCAGACTTCATTCTGAAATTAAGGGCACGTACTCGGGTAAGGGGCACAGCACACGAGCTGAGGCCAAGCCCTTCGGATCCGTTAACCCTTGAGCTACGGTCTTAACATCGACCCTGGTTTGAGTAGGGATGGGCTTATTTCATCAAGGAGACTGGGTTCAAAGAATTTCTGACTGATGCCGGAACAGTCGCACAAGAGGTATGTTAGCGTTATTGTTCCAATACAATCACTCAAACATCCGGTTTAGAAAAGCACGTGTGCTAGTCACAGTGCTGTGAATCTTGCTGAAACGAAGACTACAT